TCTGTGTGTGTGTGTGTGTGTAAGTTACGCTCAGCGCAGCTTCTAGGTCTCCAATGTCAATTTTTTTTTTTAAATATGTGAAATATTTGTCGCTGTTCTTGTAGTCATAAATAATAGAGCGTCTTGTAGTACTGCAGTGCTTTATCAATACGTTTATGCGTTATGCTAACAAACAATAACTGACTGGGTCTGTCCAATCACCGCCGATTAGCGTCACGCAAAGGAGTGGTTTGGAAAAATCAGTCATTGTACGAATCATCTGGGAGTCGGTGAGCAAATCAGTTAAAAATAAATGCATATTATAAGACAAATAAAGTGTTTTTTATCCTTGCATGCATGTTAAACTGTTTATGGGAACTCCTAAAACAAAAATAGAAACATTTCAAATGCTATGATAGGGGCTCTTTAAATAATAGCGGCATAAGATGTATGCAAAATAAAAGGTTTGACACACCCGAGGAGTTTTTTTTTTTTTTTTAAAAAGAGCGTGAAATTCGTCCCGGTGTGAACAGGCCTTAAGGTGTTGATCGGTTTATGACCTCACGCCAATAAAGGAAAATGGTTTAACGTGTTTACATGACCACACGCTTATTATGTGTAACCGCTTTAAGAACGTGCATCTAAACGCACTCATTGAAAAATGTGTATATTTCAACATTCAAGCATGAAAACCAATTCTAGTAGACCTACTTTATAAAAAGGCATAGTATGCTCAAGAAACAGCGATCATTTTGCACATAACTTCCATAATGGGGAAAAGGATGCTGTAAATCATTGTTATTTACTTACGCTTTTAACTCTGCAAATCTGACCAGCATCTTGGCATAGCTCTCGTTCTGACTGTACTTCCCCAACGGCATGCTGGAAAACACACGCGTGTAGCAGTCGATGAGCTTAGTGAGAAGGCTGGGATCTGTTTGGGGATTGCCTTTCTTCTCCAGATTGGTCAGAAATGTCCGGCATGTTTGAGGCGAGTTTGAACTGATGGCCTGGTTGATGTAATCCGTGTCATCTGTATGGAAGAAAAGCTGTAAATGTTCTGGTCTGGCTGATTACAACCCAGAATTCCTGTTTTGACCAATGATTTTATGATTACTACTGGATCAAGATTGCTAATGAACATTTTAGAAAAATGTTATAAAAATGTATACTCACAGAGCATAATTACAACCATCTATATTGGAATTAGAGGAATGTCCTTAAAGGGTTAGTTCACCCAAAAATGAAAATTAAGTCATTAATTACTCACCCCCATGCTGTACCAACCGCGTAAGACCTTCGTTCGTCTTCGGAACACAAATGAAGATATTTTTGATTAAATTTGAGAGCTGTATAACTACCACATTGGCTCCTAAAGGACTGCCTCTTGACGGCCCAGAAAGTCAATAAAGAGAAAATGTTTAAATATCCCAAGTGACTACCGTGGCTCAACTATATGTTTATCAAGCGACGTGAATACTTTTTGTGCGAAAAAACAAACAAAAATAACGAGTTCATTCGACTATCCCTTTTCTTCCATGTTGGCCTGAAACGAGAGGCATGCGTCGTGGAAATCTAAGGAAGTCTCGTTTCAGGCCAACAAGGAAGAAAAGGAATAGTCGAATAAAGTCGTTATTTTTGTTTGTTTTTTCGCACAAAAAGTATTCGCGTCGCTTGATAAACATATAGTTGAGCCACGGTAGTCACTTGGGATATTTAAACATTTTCTCTTTATTGACTTTCTGGGCCGTCAAGAGGCAGTCCCTTAGGAGCCAATGTGGTAGTTATACAGCTCTCAAATTTAATCAAAAATATCTTCATTTGTGTTCCGAAGATGAACGAAGGTCTTACGGGGTTGGTACAGCATGGGGGTGAGTAATTAATGACTTAATTTTCATTTTTGGGTGAAATAACCCTTTAACTTTATTTCAGGGATAATTCACCCAAAAAGGAAAAGTCTCATCATTTACTCTTCTTCGTGTGGTTCCAAAGCTTTAAGACTTTCATTCATCGTCAGAACACAAATGATGACGAGAGAAATCCTCCATTGACAGCTAAGCAACTACCACTTTGACGGTTCAAAAAGATCATAAAGAGAACGTAAAATCCATATGAATTGAGCAGTTTAGACCAAATTTGATCACTTTATATGATGAACAGATTTAATTTGGCTTTTATTCACATGTAAAACATTCATCAATGCACAGATCAGTTGTGGTAAACGTAAGTTCAAGCATGTTCACTTGACGTGCAAGAACCAATGAGGTTCCTTCTCGTGTTACGCATCACGTTTGAGCTTCAGCCAAGAAACTAAGAGGTTTGTTGAGCTTTTGTTTGTTTGCTGATCAATGTCTATGTGTGAATAAAAGACTCGATTCAATCTGTTAATCATTTTAAAGGAGTAGTTCACTTTTTAAAAAACTTTTGCTAATAATTTACTCACCCCATGTCATCCAAGATGTCCATGTCTTTCTTTCTTCAGTCGAAAAGAAATTAAGGTTTTGGATGAAAACATTCCAGAATTTTTCTCCATATAATGGACTTCACTGGGAACCAAACGATTCAAGGTCCAAAAGACACCTTCAGTGAAACTGTTCAAAGGTCTTTAGGTCTGGAATCGTTTAAAGCCCTTTGAACAGTTTGCACTGAAATTGTCTTTTGGACTTTGAACCGTTTGGTTCCCATTGAAGTCCATTATATGGAGAAAAATCCTGGAATGTTTTCATCAAAAACCTAAATTTCTTTTCAACTGAGGAAAGAAAGACATGGACATCTTGGATGACATGGGGGTGAGTAAATTATCAGCAAAAGTTTTTTTAAAAGTGAACTACTCCTTTAAGTGATCGAGTCTCTAGAAAGTTCGGACTAAACCGTTCAATTCATATGGATTAGTTTTAAAATCCCTTTTATGAACTTTTTGAAGCATCAAAGTTGTGTCAGTGGAGGGACAGAAATCTCTCCGATTACATCAAAATATCTTAATTTGTGTTCTGAAGACGAACGAAAGTCTTAAGGGTTTTTGGAACGACACAAGGGGTGAGTAAATGATGACAGAAATGTAATTTTTGGGTGAACTAAGCCAACATTTCCTGATAGATTGAGGTTTAAAGTGTGCATACCCTGAAAATATTATTTAGAAAAATCACTCCCCAAATGTATTACCATCATTGAATAACCTCTTCATCTTGGCCAGCCGTTGACACAACATGGCAATCTGCATCTGTCGCTCAGTACTCTCTTCTTCATCCATCTCTGCACACTACACAACACACACACATCAACTACACCACAATACACACACCATTACTGCACTGCATTGACATATGTGGAAATGACACCATTCCTCAGTCTATATATGCATGAATATGTCCGCAAATAAAAGCTTATTTTACTGTTTATATAGACTTACATATATATAAAAACTTAGAAAAAATATTATTCATAATGAAATAAATTTACTTATATTACATGCAGCTATTTATGCATATTACAAAACAAACATAAACACAATTACTGTAGCAGCTATCGTTAACGTTACTGCATTGACATCTTTGGTAATATTCACCATGCTTCATGTCTTTATGCCCATATCTGTCTGTCATTTTAAAAAATGTCTCATCCAACCTTTGATTCATATTGGATCTTAAAGTATTCAAAGTGAACAAAGCCTATATTTTATAACTTTCAAATGTTATATGGAATAATATTTCAATTTTGTTTTGATGATGATGATGATGATGATGATGCACCAAATCTACAAGAGTAACGTCTGATGGCCTAACGTTACCAGCATTTGAGCAAGAACTTAATATGATCAGTCTCATGACTTGACATAATTAGGTTGGTCTTGCTGTGATTAATAATAACATGAAGAACAGCTCCACCGTGTCGGGTGATTAGCAGCTATGCGGCTAAAGTCGCTTTACAACAGAACACTCCTCGTTGACAATCAATCGTGCATTATTGATTAACGTTAGATTAATGACAATCAACATGTCGACGCACTACATCGCACTGTTTGCATTTTGGATGATGTTAAAACTATTTTAAAGCAGTACACTTACCCTGAGACGGAGAAAGGAGGAAAATCTCACGGTGTGATCGAGTAATTGTTTTGTTCAACAACCGTTTCAAAATTCGCCACTTCCTCAAAGCGCGCGCTCCTGTTGGTCAGTTTGTATTCCACGTGATCATTTTACATCATGGTGGGCGGGGCTTCCCTCTGGTGCAGGGTTTGGAGAAAGAAAATGTCTACAAAAAAGCGCTTCATATAAAGTCATATAAAGTGGGACTTTTGTTTCAAGTTTGTTCGTTGTAGATGTAAAAATGTGTAGAATTGATAGACTCTATAAAACCATGAAGAAACTAAATATAGATTTACAACAACATGTGGAATTGATATAATGATAGGCTTTATTTCAATGACAATTAGACTAGATAAAGCGCGTTTTATTCAAATATTATTCTGTTCAGATCCACGTGCAACGAAATGATCTGGCTCTGAACCATTTCGTAAATAAAATTATTCTTTGCTTTGGCTTTCTTACAACTGACAAAGCTTATTTATTGTTTAAATAACTGAAACCATATAAGCTTGGTAAAATGTTGTTCTTGATAAAAAAAATATATTTAAAATATGCTTCTATACTATATATATATATATATATATATATATATATTCACCATAAAATCAAGATTTTTTTTTTAATTATTTTTTTTTAATATTGCAGTATTTATTACAAATGATTTACATCATATTTTATTATTAAATTCATGTGCCATCATAATCTTTAATAAAAAATAACTTTTCCCTCTTGCAGTGACATCTCTCCTCCTCTGATGACGTGTTTACTGACCCAAGGGGCGGGGCAACCTGTCACTCACATGAGATCCACCAATAACAAACCAACACCATCCAATTAATTCCCAAGAAAAATCCATGTAATGACCCCTTAAATGTCTCCTGCAAGTCACTAAACTTACTTATAAGTTTTGTATAAAGAAAAGACATACAACAGACACTACAGCACTAATGATTTATTTATGGCAATTTAGGAGGTGAAACTTTTCTAAAGGCAGTAAAAAAAAAAAAATCATCCTCATACACCCATTATCCTCACAATTGCTGGAATAAATAAATTAAAAAGCAAAACGAGTTCCTCAACTTTTTACCTTAGAGGAGAATGGCTGAAAATACATTTTCCAAGCACCTCGTATTACAGGAGAAATGTGTTTCTGTAAACTCAAATGTAATGAACATTTCATTTTTTAATAATACAGTAAGAGAAGCATTTTGTACAAGATCAAGGTTAGGAACTTAAACAACACTTACATACAACAAGGTATGTTTAGGAATGACAGTGCTGTTTTATTATTCATATCTGTAATGAAGACGGCTAAATGCAAGATTTTACAATGAAACATCAATCTAAGCATTCAAATCCTAATCTATCAGCGGGCCTTGCTTGGGTCCTTCCAGCATACGGAGAGTTTCATCCCACTGTGAAAACTGCTTCGACAAAAGAATCATCTGTGAAAAGGTTAAGGATCCTAAGGCATTCATGTTTAAAAATGAGCTTATTGTGTGCTTTTTATGGCTGCAGGGACTTTTGAACACATGGCACGCAGTCTTTTTTAACATTCACGGCAATTAAGGATACCATTTTGTTGTATTCTTCAAACAGCCTTTTGACTTCAGCAGACAGTTCTTCATTCTGGTCCTGTGGAAGTCAATCACAGATCAGATATGCTTGAATAGGAAAGAGAATCAGCATGATTCACAACATGTGCTCGCTTAGCATCTAAAATCCAAGTTTTATAAAAGAAAACGCTACTCCATCTGCAAATGTGCATAGTAAGAGAGCAGAGGTGTAAAAAGTACTTGACTACTATAATTATCATTGGTTACACTATGTAACATGCACTTTCCTCAGTAATAACAGTAATTTATGCATAATTACATGCAACTAACCCTCAACCAAACGCCAATCATAACCCTATCATAACCCTATAGTGTACATGTAGGTAATTATTACTACTCAGTACTTCAATATATAAATTATAATATATAAACAAATAAAATGTAACCCTTTCTTTTAAGGTGATCATGTAATTATAAGTACTGTGTAATAATAATTAACTACATGTATATAGGGTTAGGATTGGGGTTTGGTTGAGGGTTAGTTGCATTAAATAATTTTTTAGTCTCTAAAGTATAATTATTACTACAGTAACTGTAACGTGTAACAAGGACACTATAAAATAAAGTGCCTTATTATTTTTTGGAATCTGTATTTTACTTGTGTTCTGTTAAAACTGAATACTTGTATTTTGACTCACATTTATAAGGTAAAAATAATACTTTTGACATCATTACAATTTCATTTAGAATTTAAAGTACCCAGTGCATACATTATATGAAATAATTTCTCCTTTATTTAACCGTCTGGGGTTGTTCGTTTCAGAGTCACACTCGGGGTGTTTGGGTCCAAATGGGTCCAAAATCATGATTTTTTTTTTTCACTCTTTTTTTATAATATTTTTTCTTTTCTTTTTTGGTGTTTTGAGAAAATTAAAAAAAAAAATTATAATTAGTATTAATGCAATAATTATGACAAAATTTCCCCCCATTGAACATAATAGAAAAAATATTTAAAAAAAATTTAAAGCTGTATTTCATTTTAGAGTCAAGCCTAGGCCTCATAAAAGCAATTTTTGAAATGAGATCGATGCCATCTGGTGGACAAACTGAGCATTTTAAAAATGCAAAACACATGTATTATCTGAATTTTTTGGTGTGTTTGTGTATAAAAGTGTATGTGTGTGTGTCTGGATGTGTCTGTTCTGCACTCTTGATGTTTTATAGATTCACCCCTTCACTGTTGTGTGCTTTTTTCAAGATCGTGGCTGATTTGTAGATTGTACGCTCAAAAAAACTCAGTATTTTCACATTTTTGCCAATTACCCATTCATTTTCCATGCGGGTCCAACACCCCAAGTGTGACTATTTTTTTTGTACAACCACTTAGACTACTCACATCCTGTCCCCAATTTTTTTTGGGTGTTCAAATACCAAATACCAACAAAGTCCATTCCGAGGAAGCTGTGATTTAAAAAAAAAAAAAATGTATTTAAATTCTTCGGGTCCATTTGGGCCGAACAACCCCAGAGGTTTAAAGGGATACTGCACTTTTTTTTTTGAAATAGGCTCATTTTACAACTCCCTCAGTCTGTCTCTTTACTGTCTCTTTATTGATATTCTTCTAAATTTCCGAAAATCGACTGAATGGATTCGAAAATGGTCAAACCCAACTGTTTAACACTGGGGGAGTTGTAAAATGAGCCTATTTCCAAAAAAAAAAAAGTGGAGTATCCCTTTAATACTAAAATTATTCTTTTTCTTTATACTAATGTGACTGAAAGACAAGGGTTGCGTAATGATGACAGAAGTTTTGGGTGAACTATCCTTTACAGAGAAAGACTTTGAGTAATGTGTTTTATGATAAGCATCACTGTAAATAGATGCACTTGAGAGTGAACACGGTCCATAATTAGTCTTGACTATTAGTCTGAAAATCACTATCAAATGGGAAACACCAGCGTTTACCAGAATTCGCTTACTGCATCTTTAAATGTAGACGTTTAATTGAGTAAATTTCTGAAACAGAGTACTTGTGCTTTAACTTGTGTATGGAAGTGATCACAGAGTGAAAAGAAGTGAAAAACCTGCTGTTGAATGTGAATTTGTGACAACCGCTGCACTTTAGTGGTCAACTCTGGAACCGCTGTAAAAACATGATGAGAAGGGGGGGGGGGGGGGGGGGGGGGGGGGAACACCGTTTTGTTAACAATACATCCAGATAACCTTAAAAAATAAGAAAAGAGTTACTTAAATATTTGCCCAACATAGCAATGGTCAGTGTTTTACCTTTAATGTGGTTGCTGTCCAGAAGAGGCTGCAGATTGTGCACCTGCTCCAATAATGTGGCCTGGGAACGCAAAAACTCTTCCTCTGTTGATAAAGGAGGAGGAGATTTATACATTGTTGAAATAATTAAATCTGTACAAAAACATATGGGCCTGGTTTCACAGACAGGGCTTAGAATAAGCCAGGATAGGCCTTTTAAAGCAACACCAAGTAACTTTTCCTCTGCGGTCGCCCTACAGGTTGGAAGTGGAATTGACCTATGGCTAAGCCACGCCCCCTCCACTCGCTCGGACACACAGTCAACACTCGGGCACGGGCGCTATGGCAGCTGTCACACTAGGAGACATTTCACAGGAGGCAATTGGTGATTTTTGAAAACAAAAAGATTATATTTCATCTCGAAGTCACCTAAAGGGCCTAAACTATGCATTGGAGGGTTATATTAATCATTTCATTGTTGAGAAGGTCAATGAAAAGCTTCAGCTCCAGGCAAAAATGTACAGGTCACAGTATGCACATGAATCACTCAGCACAACATTGTTAACATTTGTTTGTTATCTCGGTTATTTACAGATATATGTTAATGAAGCTAAGTGACATGATGTACAACGCAGCTAGAAGCTAACGTTAACGTTTTCTAATGTTAGCCTAACGTTATGTTAGAGATTTTAAAGATAACGTTCAAATACGTTGTTGACTTAACTTAGAACAGATGTAGACATCCTTGTTTAATTTATCCACGTTTAGTTGGTGTTGTGGTCTACCACATAACTTTATCCAGAGCAGACACTTATCTCGGTTGAGATGTTGCTTGGGAAAGGGTAAAAAAAAAAGCTGCATGTACCCCATACACACCGTTTGACCATTTTAGACTTATAAAATTACAAAAAAACGAATGAAAACTGACTAACTGCAATGCATTTCAATGGACGTGGAAGCAGAGAATGTCCGAGTGTATTGGATTAGCTGGGCACTGTGATTGGCTCATCGCGTTTGAGGGCGTGGCTTAGCCATAGGTCAATTGGGAATCACATGGGTAAAAAATGCACTAACCTGCTAGAATAAACTCCAATTTCATTGCATCCGGCACAGCAATGAAGTCTGTGAACTGGGGGTCCAAATACTTCAGCAAATCTTCAACTGATTGAAAAGATAAATTGATAAAAATGATGATGGAACATATTAAAACATACAATTTTTTTTATCACAAATGTTATTGATTAATTGGGAGGCTCTCACTTTTCTTGTGAAGGATCTTGACACGCTCTCTCTTGTTTGCTGTGTTTGCAAGAGCACTACTGATCCTTGTGAGTGATTCAGCACACTGAAGGAAGAAATCCAGCAAAAGGTTAATCAGGTTATATGAAGAGTTACAACTGGACATGTACTTTCCCAACTTCAAGTTTTTAGGTAAAAACGAATAAACTGTTAGGCCTAACCAATCAGAGTTTGTCACTTTTGATAAAATTTTGCATTCATTGTTTTATTTTGAATCGTCCTGCAGCATTACAAATTATTTTTAAAGTAAAAATATTCCATGTAATCTCGAAATTAGAATGAACTTGAGAAAACTGTCAGTCATTTTAATAATTATAATAGAATTCAGAAAATGCTGTGCAAGATGGTTCTGCGTGTCACACAGCAGGACATTTGCTATTGTTTCCATCAGATCCCCGTAAGCTGCATTCATTTCAACTTCAAATGGTATTATATGTGAATGTTAAGGGTGTGCCGGTACATTTAATCTAGTGTGTGTCTTAGATCAAGGGTTTTCTATCTTTTAAATGCCAAAGACCCCCAACTATTATCATCTTTGTGTGAGGGTCCCCCATCCTACATTTTTTTTATTCGGCTATATGTATAAAGACCCAAATGTATATTAAAAATGTTTTAAATATTATTTGTAAGATTTTTTGTTCACTATACTGTACGTGTTAGGAACTATATTTATTAAAATGACTTTTTAAAGCATTTATTTATTACTTTAACAATTATTTGTTTAAATCAACTTCATTAATTTAATTTAATCTTATTTATTGATTGTTTTCATAGGTTTAGTAGTGTAATTTGTCTGCTGCCACGCCCGCAAAATGAACAGCTCTCAGTAATGTATCAAAACACCTAGCGAATGCCAGCATGCAATTTCTGACAAATGCACATTAAAACCGTAAAATCGTCAGCAAGAATGAATGATATTATGTCGTGAATATGATCTGTCAAATCCACAACAATAAACACTCGTAGCAGACACTGACTGAGTCTGACACACACACAGAGAGCGGTTAGGGCTTTAGGCGTGTCTGAGGAGAATCACCTTCACTGGCTTATTGTTTTTTCCTCCTCTTTCCCCATGAACGCGTTTTTCGAGGACTTGAAGTCGGGCGTCCAGATCGTCCAGATTGTTTTTCCCTTCCATTTTGTTGTTCGGCACTTCTCTAAACCGGAAATGACGCTTCGGACACGGACAGCCTCTTCTTCTGCGCGTCACAGCGCAGTCCGCCACCCATAGACTGTAAAAGCCTCCACCACACGTTTCACCAGTGAAGATGTCTAAAGTTTAACAAACACTAAGACTGTAGAGTCACTAAATATTCAACATAAAATCAAAATCGACAATTCATGTTTTTTATGGACCACAATGGGCTTGACCTGCCGCCTTTGCCCATGTGCGTTCGTTTGATTTGCTCATCGTGGCCTATTCCTAGTCATATTTCTAAATGAAAAAAATGTTCTATTTATGTTATTTATGTTATGAAAAAAATGTTATATTTAACATTCAATTTCAAAATTATTCATGCAATTATAATTGTTGTGTAAATATATTCATGCCACGTGTCAAAGCTGCCCAACAGCAGTAGTCTATGTGTAAAACCATTTTGTTGATACTGAATTCATTTCATTGGTATTGGTAATGGTAATAGCGGGTAATAGCCATACAGTGTCTTTTTATTCTGATTTATTGATTACATTTATTGACTAAGGTTATGCATTTCCGAGTTTCTCTTTCCTCTCACTCGGTCGTTCCTCTAAAGGCAGTAGCCTACAGTAACATTGAGCTTTTATACATCACAGAACCTTCAGCTGTAAGGTAACAAATATGTTTCTTTGAGCTTGTCAACTTAGAACGTATATGTCTTACGATTATAGCCTATGTCAGAATCCACTTCCATATTAAGACCAATCCTTGTTGTTTTCATTGCACTGTAAAAAAATATTGTTGGTTTAACTTAAAAAAGTAAGTAACCTGGTTGCCTTAAAATTTTAAGTTCATTGAACTGGAAAAAGTGAGTTAATACAATGAAGGAGAAATGATTTAATCATCAGAAACTCAAAATTATATGTTATCTGAACTAAATAAATTATTTAAGTTGATTTGACAAAAGAAAAAATGTTGTGATTACTAAACTTAAAAAAAATTTTGGTTTAACTTAAAAAAGTAAGTAACCTGGGTTGTCTTAAAATTTTAAGTTGATTGAACTGGAAAAAGTGAGTTAATACAATGAAGGAGATTAATTTAATCATCAGAAACTCAAAATAATAAGTTATCTCAACTAAATAAATTATTATAAAGTTGATTTGACAAAAGAAAATATGTTGAGATAACAAATCTTAAAAAATATTTTTTACAGTTGCATCAGTGGAAACTTCATGCTGAGTGAACATGTTACGTTGCACACATACCTCTAAACAATAGCTTTCCCCTGACATGTGTTATCTCTTCTCATGCATTCAAACTCATGCTTTTGACACTCCATAAGATAATACACTGATTATAAATATTAATGAAGAACAATAATACAAATACACAATATTATTAATAAAATTATATTAAATGAAATTTAATGAAATTTTATTCTTCATTTATTTATGTATACACTCTAAATGCTGGTTTAACCCAACTTTGGGTCAAATATGGACTAACCCAGCAGTTGGGTTAAATTTTTACATTACATTTTTAACCCAACATTTCGGGTTTGTCCATATTTCACCCAAAATTGGGTTAAAACAACCCAGCATTTTTTAGAGTGTATATGTTATTTCCAAAAGTCCAGTTTTGCACTTTGCAAGACAGGTTCATCTCAGTGGTCAGTTTTTGAAACAGATGTCCCAATTGTCTTGAATAATACTGTAAGCTAACACTTTTTTGCCTCTTCTGTTACACATGGGTCTACATCAAGATATACCGTAGATCAAACGGTCTGGCAATGAATACACTCTAAAAAATGCTGGGTTGTTTTAACCCAATTTTGGGTCAAATATGGACAAACACGAAATGTTGGGTTAAAAATGTAATGTAAAAATTTAACCCAACGGCTGGGTTAGTCCATATTTGACCCAAAGTTGGGTTAAAACAACCCAGCATTTTTTAGAGTGTAGAGTAGGCTATTTCAGAATCACTGTATCATGATTGCATCGATATGATGGACAAAATTGTATTGTTGTTGTGAGTACACCAGAGTCCTATGCAATTAGTCTTGCCTCACCAAATGCTGCAAAGTGTCCTCCTGTTTGGTGTTATGGAAATCTCCTACTCCTGGATGACTCACTCACTGCAATACCTTCTCGGTTGGATGTATGCTTGGCTCTCTCTACGAGTAAGACGAGTCAAGTCTCTGAGCCCAGCGGTTCTGGTCCTGCGATCTCAGATGGACTTTGCTGAGTGCTTGAACGGGTTTCCCTTGCTTCTCCACAGCGACCAACATGCATAATCACAGGTGCAGAGCCTTAGAGCCTGTTGTTGTTTCCTGACAAACATCTTAGCATGATTATGCTCTTGATCTGACCGATCTGACCAGGATAACCTTACATTGTTACCTCCCCTGGTTTTGTGACTGATGTTTTTAACGCTGCTCTAGTTGGCTGTGAAGTTGAGCTGGGCTGGTAGACGGAAAAAAAAGTGTTGCCCTTCTTAGTTTTGTTCTAGGAGTTGATATTTCATTATGCTCCCGGGCGGCCTAATTTCTCCCATTCTATATAGGGGCCAAGTCTCCAGGGGCTTCAGCCTTGCTACCAACTCATTTTCATCTTTAAAGGGAAATTGACTGCTATGCAGGGGGCATTACATTTTGAAAAGGTGATTATTAAAGTGAATTTAGTGTGTTAAATTGCTAATAAATTGTACCAAATTAATGAGCTAAATGATTAGAATTATTATGCTGCCTGGGATGTACTTGTGGATGGAACATTTCAGACAAAATGGCTACTGCTCTCTCATTGTCATTAGCATTCAAGAATTAAAGGGATAGATCACTTTGAAATTGATTTTTGGTATGTTTTAGCTTACCTCAAGGGCATCCAAGATGTAGGTGACTTTGTTTCCACAGTAGCTTCAATTTTACTACAAAGTCCAGATTAAACATGATTTAATGACTCGTAAATGTAAGTACACATTGATGGCCTAAGACACGAAACGAGCGGTTTGTTTGAGAAAACAAACAGTATATCGTTTTTACCTCTTGTAACCACAGCCATGTCCAAGTGATCCGAGGGGGCAGGGATATAAATACTGTTCGTTTTCTTACACAAACTGCTCGTTTCGTGTCTTAGGCCATCAATGTGTACTTTCATTTACGAGTCATTAAATCATGTTTAATTTGGACATCTCTGTGCATGCTCTTTGAGGTGGTGACCATAGACCTCCATTATATGACCATTATATACTGTAAGTGTTTTTAGCTAAGAATAAACTAAAAGAGTTACACAGTGTAGCTTTAACCTACATAAATGTGCGCTATATATATCAGGCACATATCCAAGTGTTTGTGTGGTTAAATTACTACAGTACAGTGCCTATTGCAGGACATTGCAGACATTATTCTGTGTAGATGAGAGTGTCAACTAGAGAATCAAATTTTTTTTGTTTTGTTTTCAAGCATCACATTTCAGCCACAATTCAATAGACAACTAAACAAAATAATATGCAGGCTAATATATTACTAGAGGTTCTGACCAAATGTTATTTGCTGCAGTCCATAATTTTTGAATAATAAAAAAATCAGTTTGAATAAATTATTCAATGACTCGCTTATAAAACATCAGTGATTTTGAACGAATCTCTTAATGAATGATTCAATGACAAATACAAAAACAGTCACTTGTCGCCACCAACTGGTGTAACCATGTATTTGTTACGATTTTTATTTACTTTTAAAAGATGATTTACTTTGGTACACGTGCAAAGAATGATAAATGACACACACCTAAACTGAATGACAACTAATCTGAAACCATGACAACAAACTCCACCATGGAAACATTGCAAACTGAAAACTATGTCCTGTGGGCAAGATAGACTGCACGCATTATAAATATATATCGATATATAAAAAAAGCACAATTAAACAAGGTAACTTTGGATTTGTTTCTACTATACTGTATTTATAGGCCTAAATGTACACAAATGTTTACATATATTATACAGTATTAATAATTATCATGTTCATCTGCATTCATAGCCTACTTGTTTTTCGCAACAGGGTGTTTTCTATGCTATAAAGTGTTTCTATAATAAAAACATACATAATATATCTTACCTTTCGAGCAATATGGAAGAAAAATTACCAAACATATTTTTTTTACATGCTTTACATGCTATCTTTCCAAGGACAGACTGTAGTTTAATCAGCCTTTCTTTTTATTCTATAATTAGCATCAAACAAACAATAGGCCATCATATGCATCAGATATATGCACTTCACATAAAAGTATCATCAATGATTGTCTAGTCACTAGTGTTTTATCAAACCTCACATCATCAAAAATTGAGGGCAGAGTAGAGACGTTTGAAAATCAAGAGGGTTGCACCTGTTTCTGCGCATGCGCAGTTGAGCAGCGCTCACTCATTGCTGTGAGAGTCTAGGGGAGCGACCCGAGAGCCGCAGTGATGCCAGTAACCCTCTAGGATGCTCTACACACCGATGCTTTTACTGCCGTCTGTTTCAGCCACAGGCCTTTGAGCAGATCCGGATAAATCCGGGAAGAAGGTGTTCTTCCCAGCACGGGATAACGGGAGCGCGCGACCTTGCGCTGAATGTCATCAGAAAGAGGTTTTAATCTCGCTACGGTAAGAACGGAAATCATCATTACTGTATTCGCTAACGACACTAAATGTGTGTTTAATGTTGAAGTCTGTGATGTTGTTATGTATTATAGGGGTGTAAGAGAGAATAGACTGTAAACGCAGGGATATGTATGCGTTTGCCGCATCGAAACGTTTGCGCGATTGATCCCTGAATGTTTGCCTCGCATCTTCCGTTAACCTGTCGTCATTCAGAGGAACTAATGATTAAAGGCTTCTTCTAATGGTGATTTGGGAGAGGCTGGTGGCGTTTTACGACATATTTGACCGAAACTTCATATAGGCCTTCAAATGCAGTGTGTTCAATCGGATGCAAGTGTATCTCTTCATGAATAATGTGTCATTTATTACCATCGTAATTCAGATCGTGTTGAGCAGATCTGTGGTGCTGACACGTGCTGTTCTAGTCTTTGTGCTGATGCTGAATTACCACCTCCTCCTCCCCATCATAATAAAGCCTTTCCCCATCCCCACCATCACTTTGTCTGCTTTATTCCATTGCACCAACTTATTTTTCTTATGTGTTCCCAGACCATCCAGATTTGAGTCTCAGCGATGGATATTTTAAAGCATATAATCAACGACACTGTGGAATTCTACAAATGGAGTCTCACTATTGCAGGTAACTGGTCTCGACTTCAGTGATCCGAGTGTGATGCATGATATCCGTGCGAATAAATAAAGCCGGGAGCAAGGAAAGGCCCTGTTATTTGATTTTGACACAGCGACTGCAGATTTGATGAACAAGAACAGACTTCAACGAATGTAAATGTTAGAAATTACAATGCTTGCAATTTTCGATCGGACTTGAAGTAGAATAGATACAATACTTGTCAAAAGTTTGGAAACATCCCAATTAATTCATGTTTTTTAAAGGGATAGTTCACTTTTAGCTCACCTCAAGGGCATCCAATATGTAGGTGTCTTTGTTTCCACAGTAGTTTCAATTTTGATATTTTTAGGTCAAACCGTTCGTGTCTATCAGTCATATAATGGAGGTCTATGGTCACCACCTCAAAGTGCATGCACAGAGAAGTCCAAATTAGGCATGATTTAATGACTCGTAAATGGAAGTACACATCAATGGCCTAAGACACGAAACGAGCGGTTTGTGTGAGAAAATGAACAGTATTTATATCGTTTTTACCTCTTGTAACCAGATGAAATATCACTTGGATGTGGCTGTGGTTACAAGAGGTGAAAACAATATAAATACTGTTCGTTTTCTCACATAAACCACTCGTTCCGTGTCTTAGGCCATCAATGTGTACTTACATTTACGAGTCATTAAATCATGTTTAATCTGGACTTCTCTGTGCATGCTCTTTAAGGTGGTGACCATAGACCTCCATTATATGACCCACAGACAAGAACGGGTTGACCTAAAAATATAAAAAAATAATAATTTCAAAGTGAACTACCTCTTTAAGTCTCTTCTGCTCACCAAGGCTGCATTTATTTAATATAAAATACAGTTAAAACAGTAATATTGTAAAATATTATTACAATTTAAACAATTGTTTTCTATTAGAATCCATTTTAAATTGCAATTAATTCCTGTGATGCAAAGCTGAATTTTCAGCATCATTACTCCAGTGTCAGTGTCACATGATCCTTTTCTAATATGATGATTTGACAGGAAACAGGTAAAAATGATGTAAGTGCATTATATAGACATTTGTAGATTTCAGATAAAGCTCCAATAAAGGGATCTCGTGTCTGTTTGTAGACAAGCGTGTGCAGAAATGGCCCTTGATGGACTCGCCGCTGCCCACGCTGGCCATCAGCTCCTCCTACCTGCTCTTCCTCTGGCTGGGACCCAAGTACATGCAGGGCAGAGAAGCCTTCCAGCTGAGGAAGACCCTCATCGTCTACAACTTCAGCATGGTCATCCTTAACTTCTTCATTTTCAAAGAGGTGAGTTCACCCAAACTCTCAGCATGTTTTTTATGCTTCATGCATACATATTTATTGTGTTTATCCTTTTTAAAAATGATTATTTAGTCATTTTATTTAGTTTCAGTTCAAATCTGCCTATGGTGAAAACACACCTCGTTTATTAGAAACTGCATATTCATCAGAGCCGAATAAATGCAGTACAGTGGTGCTTGTGCTGCCTGTTAATGTGCTATTCATGTACCATTACTGCTATATTTAGCAGTAAATTCATTGTAACTACCATTTCTCTGGGTGTTTATGATTCAGCAACATCAACTTCATTCGGACAGAATACATGATGGTCAGAAGTCAGGTTTGAGAAATTAATTAAATCAGCCAACATTTATTGAAATGTGAAATTTGTCATTTGCTGATGAGATTCTATTTAATCTTACTTTATATTATTTTTGGGTTATTGCTCATTATTTTTTGCAAACTTCCATTTTATTACCATACACCATTAACATAGACCATAATGTCTTATGCTGCATCCTTTTTCGCCTACTACTATACACCAAAAGTACGTGCTGTTTTCGTGAAGAAACAGTACATACTTTTAACTGTGTTGCAGAAGAGTAGGCAAGCTTAAATTGGGTTAAAATACTTCGTCATAATTGCGTTTTTAACGGACAGCTCTGTCGCTTTTTTACATGCATCCTGTCACTGTTTAAACTGCCCTGTCAATCATTTTGTCACAATTTAAATGAATATAATTTACAATGTAATAGAGAGAAAAGTAGTAGCACATTGATCATGAGTCTTTCATGCGAAGACTCTCCTCATGTTTTTGCATAATGATGCATTTAAAAGGTAATGAACAAATGCATCTTTTATAAAAGTTCACAACAATGCTATTGCAGGTGAAATAAAATGTTGATATCATTGAATAAATATATTTTTGCCATGTTAGAGACCGATTATTAATCACTCAAACGCTTTATCTAAACCTCTCTACTTAAAGGACAACTCCGGCGCAAAATGAACCTTTGGTCTAATTGCACATTGTTACCTATTCAACCGTTATCTGAGATTTTTTTTCATGATTGCCGAATCTAAATAGTTTTATCTATTAAAACAGTTTAGCCTATAATGCTAGTATAACGCTAGTGTTTAGGGCATAGAGTAATGACAAATAAAAATCGCTTTTTATTACCACTAACAAGGCTCAAAATAGCCCCACAGTACACGGTAGCATAATAAGGGTCCCTACATTCAAACCGAAGCATTGAGAACTTTGTCAGTGTCCATACAGTTTAATAAGAAGATATTTTATACACACAGTCAACTTCACGAATACAGGAAGAAGCCATCTTTAAAATATAGTCTCTACCAGTCGATCTACGAACGCTGATCCAAGTGCGCTGAACTGTGCAGAATCTTATATGGTCCATTGTTTCCGGAAGAAACACAAACACGAACCATTTTCTTCTCTTTAATATGTACACATAGCCTACTGTTCGCGCTCACCTTATCACTTTATTCACATCTCACCAGCGCACTTGGATCGGCGTTCGTAGATCGACTGGTAGAGACTATTTTTCAAAGATGGCTTCTTCCTGTATTCGTGAAGTTGACTGTGTGTATAAAATATCTTCTTATTAAACGGTATGGACACTGACAAAGTTCTCAATGCTTCGGTTTGAATGTAGGGACCCTTATTATGCTACCGTGTTACTGTGGGGCTATTTTGAGCCTTGTTAGTGGTAATAAAAAGCGATTTTTATTTGTCATTACTCTATGCCCTATAGACTAGCGTTATACTAGCATTATAGGCTAAACTGTTTTTATAGATAAAACTATTTACATTCGGCAATCATGAAAAAAAAATCTCAGATAACGGTTGACTAGGTAACAATGTGTAATTAGACCAAAGGTTCATTTTGCGCCGGAGTTGTCCTTTAACCATTGGACTAGCATATCCGCCATGTTTGTAGTTTTTTAAACACTTTTTATTGAATAGTGTTTGTAGTTCTAATCGAATCCTTGTCCAGCGGGCAGTGGATTGTGGGCAATATTAGCCGCTAGAGTGTATACACTGATCCGTTAACACTGTAAGTCCAAATCTGATTATTTGTGTGACTGGAATTTGATCTGAAATGAATGACTGTCCACATTGTGTATCACAACTATTTAGATCCGATTTGTGTCCACAAATTACACAGAAAGGAAATCGAGATGACAGCAAGCGGCGTCCTGATTATCCTGTTTCGTCCTGTTTTCTCAATGTTACAAAAGCACAGTCATTTGTTTTTGAGTTAAAGGGATACTTCACTTCTGGAAAGATGAATGTGTATTTACAGTAAAATGGGTCATTTATGTAGAAGAAATGTGAAATTATTTTTGAATTTGGAGCTTTCTAGTCTGAGAAAAGGCAGAAACTGTATTTTTGGCTAATGTGGATGAAAGACAACAACTCCCAGAATAAACTTGCTTCGCTGCCCTAGGAGGCCACGCCTACCAGTAACAGAGCGCAGTAGTTAAACAACAAGTCTAGGCTACTAGTGAGTTTCCGTGATGAGTCTGCCTGAAAATGTGTTTCAAGATCGCCCAAAATGTCCGGGATCCGGCTTTTGCGTTCTACAGTCGCCATTCATCATGTTTACTGTGGCGAGCGGGACGAGTGAGGGCCACGGGAGAACAACGCAAGTCATGTTTACTGTGGCGAGCGGGACGAGTGAGGGCCACGGGAGAACGGCACGAGTCATGTTTACTGTGGCGAGCGGGACGAGTGAGGGCCACGGGAGAACGGCACGAGTCATGTTTACTGTGGCGAGCGGGACGAGTGAGGGCCACGGGAGAACGGCACGAGTCATGTTTACTGTGGCGAGCGGGACGAGTGAGGGCCGCGGGAGAACCGCGCGAGGCCGGTGGCGTGATTACTGATGAGCGACACCTGTGAGACGCACCGGTCTCGTATCTCTCACGAAGGAGTGGGAATTTTTTTAGCAATGTTAAAACGCACATCAAATGATCACTTGTTTAGCGTTCATGTAAACACTACAGATTCACCAATCGGAATAAATTCAGTTGAATGGCGACTGCAGAAAGCAAAAGCTGAATCCCGCACATCGACGGTCGGACATGTCTGGGAAAACGAGGACGGTAACCCCTACTACTCAGCTTTCTCCACAGAACAAGAGCCTGCTAGCTTAGCCTCCAAAAAGAAGATGGCCGACACTATGTGTCCATACTGTGAGTGAGATCGCCCTCTATGGGCGGGTTGAGAACATTCAGGACAGACCAACTACTGACTGTAGTCTTTAGCCTCTGGACAAAAAATGTTCCAATGACGCAAAAATCGTCATTTTGCGTCATCTGAGGATTTTTTCCAGACAAAAATACATAAATCTCTCGTGTCAGTGGGATATGAGGGTGGAAAGCATGGTAATTTGAAATTACTACTAATACAAAGCTTAATGCTAAATCCTGAAGTATCCCTTTAATGATGTCTTACTCTTATCCTTATGCCACTAAATGATGGAGTATTTTAAGTTGTTTCCGCTATTATAATTAGACAGAATCATTTGCCGATTTGTGCTGTGACTCGTGGAAGTCTCACCAGTAAAGTCCAGTGATGAAAAATGTGTGTTCTGGAAACAGGAACAGGAACCCTCAGGTGCCGCTTTACTCACTGTCTCCTCATGGAAAGGTGAAGTAGGCTCTTTATCTCCTTCTCTTCAGCAATCAGAAATCTGGGGGAGGGGGACGGACATGTAAAGGTTCCCAACTCGTATCAAACCGTGACCCCAAAACCGAGGAATGTGCCGAATCATGACTTCTGTGTACCATTACACCCCTAGTTGGTAATTATATGTCAAAAACTGCAACATGGAGGGGTTTGCCATAGAGATGTTGTCTTATTTACTACATGACAATGTGCAGAAGTGGAGGAGACTGGTATGACCCACTTTATTCCTTGCTGTCGTCTCCGCCGGTCTCAAAACACGTGTCATTTTCTGCTCGTCCGACACTTTAAGACAACGCAACCTTATTTCTACAGCGACTTAAGATATTCACATACATTATGCGAAATACGATCAGATCAGTCAGACTGAAATAGATATCCAGAAATTTGATTTGAATATGATTTCAAACGACATATCAATGTAGCTCTTTGTAAAAATCTGCCTTTTGCCGTTCACACTTGCTAAGTCTGATCGGATTTGCCCTGACCGTCTGAACGAGGCTTAACTGTAAATAGCAGACCATCCAGGTATCTTTGCAATACTCATTTAATCCTACGATTTGGGACACACCAGTTCTAATTGACTATTTAGGAAGGATGGTATGCGATTTTTGGGATGCAGCGTTAGTTTTTCATTCTAGATCTAGTAACTTTTTGCTAGTGCTAGATCTAAATTCGCCATCTCATATGCATGAGGTGAAAAAATGAATGAATTGGAATTGTCCTTTATGCCAATCGCAGCTCAGCTCACATTCAGTGCCATTCCCTCAATGAAATAGTCCAGATGTCAATTATTAAATGTTCTGTTCCAGCTCTTCCTTGCAGCGCGGGCGGCCAACTACAGCTACATCTGCCAGCCCGTCGACTACTCGGATGATCCCAATGAAGTGAGGGTGAGTGTGCTTCCCACATAGGATCACAATGTTACCCAGACTCGGCACTGAAACTGGACACGTAATTCTGCTCTCCAGTTACTCAGCTGAAGAGTGTTCCCGGAGTGGGATAACCGAGGAGTTCGGTTTCACTCTGTGACTTCACATTATTACATTCACAAACCATTTGATTTCTATTTTTTTTTTTTAGCTAGTTATGCACCATTTTAAATGCAAATGTAGTTTTTATTAATCTTATTTTCAGTATAAATTAAAGGAGTAGTTCACTTTAAAAATCTTTTGCTGATAATTTACTCACCCCCATGTCATCCAAGATATCCATGTATTTCTTTCAGTCGAAAAGAAATTAAGGTTTTTGATGAAAACATTCCAGGATTTTCTCCATATAATGGACTTCAATGGGAACCAAACGGTTCTAGGTCCAAATGTCACTTTCAGTGCAAACTGTTCAAAGGGCTTTAAATGACACCAGACGATGAATAAGGGTCTTATCTAGCGAAACGATCGCTCATTTAAAAAATAAATTAAAAAGTTTAAATTTTATAAGCTCAAATGCTCACCTTGCTCTGTTCTGTGTTGAGCGTTCGTGACTCTCCTGTTCGAACTCGTTCATCTAAATGAACAAATCTTTTTTCGAGTCATCCTAGGTAAGACCCTTATTCATCGCCTGGTGTCGTTTAAAGCCCTTTGAACAGTTTGCAGTTTGCACTGAAAGTGTCTTTTGGACCTTGAACCGTTTGGTTCCCATTGAAGTCCGTTATATGGAGAAAATCCTGGAATGTTTTCATCAAAAACCTTAATTTCTTTTCGACTGAAGAAAGAAAGACGTGGACATCTTGGATGACATGGGGGTGAGTCAATCAGCTGATGTTTTTTTAAAAGTGAACTACTCCTTTAACCACCGTGATGTTATCATGAACACAACATGTTGAGTATTTGCAGAAAGATTAAATAATATTAATACATTGGTTAAGCTGTATTGCACAATGAATGATTGATGGCTGTGTTTCTCTTCTAAACTTGATTTCTTTGCTTTCATTTAATGTAATTCTTTAAAATGTGCAATCTACTTGTCACAACTGGTAAAACAAGAAGACAAGGTATCTATTAGCGGCAATAAATCTTTAATCATAACAAAAACAAAGAGCAGGACCTGTTACTGTTTCTAATTATCCAAGTTCGACCAAATATGAAATAACTGTACGTTCACACCGCCGTCGACTTGATCGTCAAAGAAGATCTGGCCGCCCATTCCCACTTTAAAACGAGCGTTCGTAAATATTTCAAATAAAAGTTGTGCTCATACGGTCCCTATAAGCAAACAACGTCATGTCATAAGGGATAGGAAACCTGTAGGAAACACAGCAACGGTGATGAATAGCTTCTCTTCCATTTTCTCTAAACTGATCTTTTGGTAGGAACGAAAGTTTACTTTTTATGTTTCTCCGGAATCAGCCAGCGCGAAGGATGTCTATATTCCGATTGGTTGCTGGCGTTTGGCCATTGAACCGCGTCACAGCTCATTACCATAAAGTTGAGCTTCTTTCAACATTCAACTTTCTGATTGATGCTCAAAACGCCCAAAACGCGACGCCAATGGATTTGACGCTACTTGCAACTGAGAAAAGCCAGCTTCCATTGAAAATGAATGACTTCTGGTCACTTTGGGCGGTGTGAACGTACAGTAATTGGTATCATTGCTCTCGGTATGTCTCAAAATTAAGTTAGGCAAAATGAATCAAAAGTTATTAACATTTTTAGCATTTTATTATATATTTTGAATGCTGCACTGAATCAAAAGAGACCAGTTTTATGATTTTGGAGCAAACCGTTCAGAAGTTATTGCCAAACACAGCCATTTTCATACCTCCTGACCAGTAGGTGGCGCTGTGCCGAAATGCTACATGTAGCCTCAGGTCATGATGACATGTACCAAGATTCGTTTCAATACGTTAAAGTGTTATGGAGATATAGCCATTTTTACAGGCTCTTTATCAAATTCGTTCGCATATATTTAAGAACAGTTGGCTTTTCAAAAACCTTTTAATAACTTTTCGTGTAATATGGTGAAAATCAGACGAACTGTCTTGGCTAGTTCGAAGTTAATTCAATTAATGTAATTACTGCTTTGTAACACAAAGATAACTCTAAACAAAGAGAGAACCAAACTGAGGGTTTGGATACACGGAATAATGAGAACTGAACAAGAAACATTTGGCAAACATTATCCGTAACCATGGGAACAAATGGGAACATAGTTAGAAACCCACAATCAGCTCCCGAGCTCGTGGATCAGTATAAGGTGTTCATGAATTCGGGCCTGGACGGTAAAGGGTGCTGACTCACTACACATTGGGACACTGATGACTAGGGTTGGGTATCGAGAATCGAGTATCGATTGGAACCGGGACTAACTTTTCGTTTTTCCCGGAATCGTTCAAAAGTTAAACTTTCGATTCCTAGTTTCGATATTCACAGTCCGCCGAGCGGAAGAAGAAACCGCTGAACAACACCAACGAAGAAGCGTCTACTGGAAGTGTTGGCATAACCGCACGAGTCGAACATTAGTAGCTTACGTCAGCGGTCCAAAGTGTGGCTTCACTTTTCTAAAAATAACTAAATCTCGGCAAAATGCAAAATTTGTGACAAAAGGAGTATTTTTACAGAAGGAGTATTTCCTTCAGAAAGGATTATTTCCTTCAGAAAGGCTGTTGGTTAGCAAGGTTAGCTAAACTTTTTTGACCCTGCCTCTTAAAAGAATCGGAATCGAGAATCGTTAGGAACCGGAATCGAAACAAGGAATCGGAATCGGAATCAGAATCGTTCAAATTCAAACGATACCCAACCCTACTGATGACTCTGTGTACAACTTCACTACTGGTGTTTATGAACAACAGCAGAACTAATATCTTTCTGACATTACTTGACAAGTACAGTATGATAAAAACTTTGCTTGTTTCATATCCGTGCAACATTTCAGCCCCAAATAAATTATAAATGTTTGCTAGATACTGTTTAATACCTGTTTTACAATGTAAGTGAAATATACTAAAATAATAGTTTGTGTTTTGAGGCCCCGTCTGATATAATACTTTAGTAAAGACTCATCTTCTCTTTTGATGGCAGGTGGCAGCAGCCTTGTGGTGGTACTTTATTTCCAAAGGTGTGGAGTACCTCGACACTGTGTTTTTCATCTTACGGAAGAAGTTCAACCAAATCAGCTTCTTGCATGTCTATCACCACTGCACCATGTTCACTCTGTGGTGGATTGGCATCAAATGGGTCGCCGGTGGACAGTGTAAGTATTAAAGGAGTAGTTCACTTAATTTGATAATTTACTCACCCCCATGTCATCCAAGATGTCCACGTCTTTCTTTCTTCAGTCGAAAAGAAATTAAGGTTTTTGATGAAAACATTCCAGGATTTTCTCCATATAATGGACTTCAATGGCAACCAAACGGTTCAAGGTCTAAAAGACAGTTTCAATACAAACTGCAAACTGTTGAAAGGGCTTTAAACGATTCCAGACGATGAATAAGGGTCTTATCTAGCGAAACGGTCGCTCATTTAATAAATAAATAACAAAGTTTAAGTTTTATAAGCTCAATGGTTGCCTTGCTCTGTTCTGTGTGACTCTCCTGTTCGAACTCGTTCATCAAAATGAACGAATCTTTTTCGTGTCATTTGGTTCAGTCAACGAACGAAATGAACGAATTGACTTGGGAAAAGATTCGTTAATTTTGATGAACGAGTTTGAACAGGAGAGTCACGAACGCTCATCACAGAACAGAGCAAGGCGAGCATTTGTGCTTATAAAACTGATTTTTTTTTTTTTTTTAAATGAGCGATATTTTCGCTTGATATGACTCTTATTCATCGTCTGGTGTCGTTTAAAGCCCTTTGAACAGTTTGCAGTTTGCACTGAAACTGTCTTTTGGACCTTAAACCATTTGGTACCCAGTAAAGTGCATGGATATCTTGGATGACATGGGGGTGAGTAAATTATCAGCAAAAGTAAAAGAAATACAGACCATGTCTGTCAAGCTCAGAAAAGAACAACAGCATGTAAGTCGTTCATTCTGTATGATTCATTCGCTATATTACAACAAATCTGTCCGAATAACAGAACAATTCTGACATTTTACTGGTAATCTTCCACTCATATGAAATGGACTGATGTGCATCTGTCTGTTTTGCAGCATTCTTCGGGGCTCATATGAACGCAGCCATCCATGTCTTGATGTACTTGTATTATGGGCTGGCCGCATTTGGTCCAAAAATACAGAAATATCTGTGGTGGAAAAAATATCTGACGATCATCCAAATGGTATGTGTTTACAAGCAAAGTGCCGCTTTTGAGAATGATGTGGAATACAAGGTTGGTTCTTCAGTTAGGGGAACTTTAGAAAAAACTGATTCTATTTTATCCTAATTTTTAGCATCAAATTACAGAATTTACTTGAGGATTTACTTCAGTATTATTTTAGATTATTGTAACTTCCCCTTTATAAATTAAAAGTCTTAAATGGAAAATGATTCTTTCTTTGCACTTTTTTCTCTAAGAAGTAAAAGATACATAATTTCCATCTCCATTTGATATTTATAGAATGCAGCTTCCGCTGTCAAGCATTTAATACAATTCAGTTTTCCAAAAACACTTAAGCTGAGTAACTGTTTAAATATCAGAAATTCCATTCATTTTCACCATAGTGGCTTTATTATGATCGACATGTGACTACTACTGTTTAAAAATTTGTGGCGGGGGAGAAACGAATAAACTAAAATAATTATTTTATTCAGTAAGGGTGAAGTAAATTGTTGTAAAGACTAAAATTGTTATAATGTTACAAAAGATTTCTAATTCAAATAAATGCTGTTGTTTAAAGCAGCAAATCATATTAGAATGATTTCTGAAGGATCATGTGACACTGAAGACTGGAGTAATGATGCTAAAAATTCTACTTTGATCACATCAGACCAATTGTAACAATGAGTAATTAATGACATTTTTATTAGATTTTAGTCAAAATGCAATCACACAAATATGATTTAAGTGCATATTTGTATACCAATATGCCAATAGGTGGCACTGTTAGGTGCCAGTGTGAAGATAATGTTACACATACAAAGTTTGGTGTCAATATGCTGAAGCTTTGGAGAGTTACAGCCTCAGAATAAGCGTGGCACCATGCCATCATCAAATGTGTTGATGCTTTATTTAAGAATGGTTCAGTCAATCCAAAAGCTTATAGTAATTTTTTGCCAGCACAGTGTGAAGATGATCTTAGCCGAATGTGGTGAAAATCGGACCACCGCTCTAAGAGTTCGAAAAAGTAGGTTTTCAAAGAAATTCAAAATGGCGGACAACAAGTTTGACTGAGTATGGTATCATTGTTCTTAGTATGTCTCAAGGAATCTATCAACAGTTTCATTAAATTGGGCAAAAATAATCAAAAGTTATTAGCATTTTTAATTTGAGCAAATATTAGCAAATTGCATTATACATTTTGACCAGTAGGTGGCGCTGTTCTGAAACTTTTTTTAAAGGGATACTCCACTTTTTTTGGAAATAGGCTAATTTTACCACTCTCCCAGAGTTAAAAAGTTAAGTTTTACCATTTTCGAATCCATTCAGCCGATTTTCTGATATTTAGACGAATATCAGTAACCAGACAGTTTCTGGTCTCATTGACTTCCATAGTAGGAAAAAAATATACTATGGAAGTCAATGAGACCAGAAACTGTTCGCATGGCCAATATGCGAAAATTGGATATCATTCGACTCGGAATACTGTTCTGAATTAAAAGAATCCCGTTTTATGATTTTGGAACCATTTAGAAGTTATAAGTGATTTTTTATCAAACCAGTTCAGCAGAAATCCTGCCCTGTAGATGATTTCATTGGTTAAGGTTACAGTGACAGGTAGGTTTAGGGATCCGTGTTTGGTGTAGGCCATCAGTACAGGGATTGACATGAACAATGATATCTTTAGAATCGGCTGCAACTGGTTTGGGGAAAGAAATCACGTGTACCAAGACTCGTCCCAATACACTAAAGTGAGATACAGTATATCCTCGCATCAATTTTAACGTGCTCTTTGGCCAATTCATTGGCATGTTGTTTGAGAAAAGTTGGGTTTTTCAAAAAGCTTTTAATAACTTTATGCCAGCACAGTCTGAAGATGAACTGAGCCAATTTTGGTGAAAATCGGACGAACCGTCTAGGACGAGCTCGAAAATGGCTCTTCAGAAAATGGCTTGATTCATATGGATTCGTTTTAAAATCTCCTTATGAACTTTTTGAAGTGTCACATTGGTAGTTGTGTAGCTGTCAATGAAGGGACGGAAATCTCTCAGATACAATCAATACGATCTTCATTTGTGTTCTGAAGATGAAGGAAAGTCTTAACGGGTTTGGAACGAGTAAATGGTGACAGAGTTTTCATTTTTTGGGTGAACTATCCCTTTAAGAGGTCCAAAATTGCTGTGGTCAATGTTGAGTCTGTCCTCTATCAGTGTGCCAAATTTCATCAGTTTTATGGGCTACCATAGACTCAAAAGTGGAGGAAAAAGAAGAAAACTAACCTTTGGTGCTTGGCCCCAAAATATAGTTATAAACAATCAACATAGTTCATTTAAACATTCAATATAGTTCTTTTAAATGATAATACTTTCACAAAATGACTGTTTTTACTGTATTTTTTTTATTTTACTGTAACAAATTAAGTTTTGGTGAGCATAACTGTGCGTTCACACCGGACGCGAATAGCACGTCAAATTCGCGCCTACCGCGTCTAGTTATATGCTTGAACACTTTGAATCTATTTGTGCGTCAAGAGTGAAATTGACGCGTGTAAAAATAAAAGTTTGAAGCGAAATTTACTCCCGTCAGAATCGAAACCCGTTGGCGGCCATATTTTTTATGTTGATCATAAAAAATAAAAAAGTCACCGCTCTGTATTTGCTCTGGAGAGCAGAACAGCGGCGTGGGGATCATCATCACTGTATTTGTGTCCACCGGACCCTTCGGAGGCGAACCGTTTGGCGAGTTTCACCATTTGCTCGCTCCAGGAGCTGCGCTGGATGACGGCCGCTGTCAGCGATACTTCCGCCTGTCCCGCGCCCAGTTTGATGACCTGTTATCCCGCACCCTCGCCCTCATCCATCTAATCTGTCATTTATTTTTGTTTTGATGATAAATAGAGCCAGCCTTCAAAATTTATTAACCTGTCCTGTGATTTTTTTTTTCTCTCTCGCGTCCAGACACGAACTTATGCACATGTATGGAATAATCTAGAAATGGAATAAATAACATTCAATACAAAATGAACATGTCTCGTATATTGAAATAAAGTTTTAAGTGATAAAATATTTGCTTTGTTGTGCATTAGATCCACACCCGGCATTTAGTCATATTACAAAATTTATTGAACCATCCAGATCCTTCACAACGTGAGCAAGCAGCTAGGCTCCTGATTGGTTAACGCGGCGCGAATTGACGCCAAAGTTCAGATTTTTCAACTCGGGCAGCAGGCGTGAATTCGCGTCAAACGCGTAAATGCACAAACAGCACTCGCGCCTAACGCACCAGACACTCAATTCGTGCGAACTTGACGCGCAAATGAGGTGTATTCGCGTCTACCGCGCCGAAGCAATTTTTACGCGCGTAAAGGGGCTTTCACACAGGACGCGGTATGCGCTGCGCTGGCCGCTGGGTTGAGCGTTGCCCTTCAGATACAACGTGATTTGCTCTGCGCTATGCCGTATGATATTATATATACATATGTATATGTGTGTGCGTGTACACATATAACATCGAAATCAACACACGAATCATGAGCTCAGTTCTAAAACATTTATTCAAATAACAAACGAAGAAATTATACATATATTAAAACACACCTGACACCTATGTCTCCATGACAGCTTTTCTGACAATGTCAAAATTGTATCGTACAGCTCAGGAAATTCCGACAGTACAAGCTGTTCATCCATTTTGATTTCCGTGTTTGTTTCCATATCCCGTTTCTATTGGCCGCGCTGATAATCGTCACAGAGCGCAGTGGCAAAAGTTAAACTATTTTGAACTTTGACCGCGGCGTGCGCGCGAGCAAGTCAATGGTGCGCACCGCTGCGCTTGCGCTTTTGTCGACGCAGCAACAAAACGTCTTCGCGCGGCACAAGCCATTGAAATGAATGGGTTTCATAGCGCCACGCAGCGCATACCGCGTCCTGTGTGAAAGCCCCTTAACGCGTCTTTGCATTGACTTAACATTGAAATCACTCGCGTATGATGTGCTATTTGCATCCGGTGTGAACGCACCATAAGAGACCAAACCCAAACTTTGAAGATGTTTCATTTTTCAAAACTGCCCAATCATGACTAAACCAATGATCAGGCTCTGGGAGCTTACGAGTTATCATGTATCTTTTCATTTCTTCCACAGATCCAGTTTCACGTCACCATTGGCCACACGGCCTTGTCGCTGTACTCTGACTGCCCGTTCCCGAAGTGGATGCACTGGTGTCTGATTGGATACGCCCTCACCTTCATCATCCTCTTTGGCAATTTCTATTACCAGACGTACCGTCGGCAGCCCCGCCGCGAGACCGCGTCCAAACCCGGCAAAGCCCTTCACAACGGAGCCTCTAATGGAGCCCTGACGTCTAGTAATGGAAACGCTGCCAAGATGGACGAGAAGCCGGCGGAGAGCGGGAGGAGAAAGCGGAAGGGCAGAGCAAAGCGCGAGTAAAACGGAGGAGAGGGAAGCTGACGCGAGAGGCCGCTCTGAAAGATTGTTCAGCAAATTGTTACGACCAAACAGTATGGCCACTCTGGAGAAATACAAGCCTATATGTAGAGAGACTGAACAACATGACATCTTTCCACATCGCCCCTCTTAAGTTTAGTACATTATTCTATGTATCTGCCTTTTTTACATCACTGTTCTAATGCCAGAAAAGACCCGTGTTTCATCAGTGTACGACGAAAGACTCTGATATCAGAGGGGTTTTTCATCATTTGTTATAGTGGGGTCCAAAAGTTCTTCTGTTTTGCAACATAAAACTATTATCAGAATGATCATGAGATGAACTGATCTAGATCCTGATGTTCTCCAGCATGATTTGCATCTTGTGGAAGAAGAAAATCGCTCGAGAAAAGTCGCTTATTTGAATAGTCAAAAAGGAATTGTGCATATTTCGTCTTCATTTTACAGACTTTTGGACCCCCACTTTATATCATTTATTTGTGAAACATATTCATGTGTTTGTTTATTTCAAACTTTTGTAAGTTGCGTGTTGTTTATCTTTTGGCAGGATGTATTGCCTACAGTAATGTACTTTAAAACATAGATCATGTTGCCCTGCATATTTCAGCTTCGATCAAAATTAGGGATGCAACTTTACCAAGACCATATACTGATAATATACAGTAGTGGGCAAAGGTGATGTCCGGCCTTGGGAAATTGACATCTTCACCCTTTATTAAAATATTGTTAAAATACTGTTCAAGATGATAATTTTATATAGTTGTGCTCTAAATCAATTGTTTTGTTTGTGATAACGCAATGAAACATGCCAAATTGTGCGGATAGTTTTTTTGGCCAGCCAGGCTGTCATACAAATAAATTATGAACATGCAAAAACCAACAGAATATTAATAACTGATTATATTGTAGTCAATGTATGATTTTTCCTGTGAAATTTTTTTTGTGTATTGTAAAATAGCAACTGTAGCTGTTTTTTGCCAAATCATTTTGTTTGATAAATACCTTAACAAAGTTTAGTGTTTTGTTCTTCCTTCATATTTAATTTTATTTAAAATATATGAAATATTTTCCTCATATTTTGATGGTTTAATTGAACCTGAAGGATCTCTAAAAACAAATATCCCCTCCGGACATCATTTTTAGCCACTACTGTATCCTATATATATTCTGTTGTCTATTGTCTTAAAAACTGTGTTCACAATCAGATCTCTCATCTAGAAGTGAAATCAGACATTGTAACATCTAACATGAATGATAGGAAAGATACATTCACAGTTTAGTGCGTTTGTTGCCTGGCGTAAAAAAAATCAACTGACTGAAAAGGATAAAATATCGCCTTCTGTTATCAGCCAATTCAGAACAATACTGATAAAAAAAAAAACATGATAATGGCTCAGACGGATATCATGCATCCTTATTTAAGGATACATCATCCTCAACATCACATACATTAAAAATGGGATTGGGAAATATGTTTGTAGCTGCAATATTGCATTGTGCGTTAATAAAGTCTTGAGCTCCCTGTCATAGTTTTTTTTTTTTAATAGTTCCAAAATTCCTAAAATATATCATGTGTTTTGTCTTGAATTTTTTATAATGTTGTAAATTCGGTGCAATTTTGTACATTGTGCTTTTGAAAACGAAATGATCATCATCTACTCGTTTTCTTTTTTTTTTTTCAAATGACAGATATACATTGCTGTATAAAATAATAAAATAAATGGAAATGCATAGTCAATGTTATATGGCGTTTCATTTCCCCAAAGCCTCTCGCTCTGTTGCCGTCTTCACGCCTTCTCAGGACATACATAAGTGGTGGTGATGGCGCAGTGTTACTCAGCCTCCAAAGATTTGCCTTGTTTTTGACAGAACAGCTGATCATGAACTGATAGCGAACTTGCCTTTTGATCAAATACGTCTTTAAAGGGAGTGATGAAGGCATCCAGTGTGTTTGTCAAAGTGCCCGCTTGTTCTTGGAGATATATCCAGCTGCAGACCCGCAGCACCACCAGTTTCAGAACCCCAGCGCCAGAACCGGAAGTGAAGGAGGGGCGGAATTATTATTATTGCATTATAATTATTTTAGCAAGCATGTAAGGACAAACCGGGCCTTGAGTTCCTCATTTGATATTGTAAATTAAATTTAAACAAAATTGTTGTGATAAACAGGCCTAGCTTGGGTTGAATTGGTCCTTTTGTATAGATTTTTAACAAAATAATGCCGCATTTTCTCTTTTTTTAGATTTTGACATTATTTTACACGAAAAATGCATGCTGCACATGTGACGGTCCTCTATTTATTACTCTTGTTGTGTATATGGAACATCTGCACAAGGGGAAACCAAAACGAATCAGGAGTGGCATGACATCGCAAACAGAATAAAACACAGCCCACAGCAGTTACCAGAAATTCTGCTCTTTTTTATTAACTGATTCCAGTGTGATCGTATAGTGGAATGTTTGAATGAAATGTTTCACAATTCGTTGTCTTTCCCACAGAAAAATGTGAAATAAATAAAATAAAATAAATAAAATCTCTGACATAAGTATTTCTGCCATATGAAACGGTTTATAAAACAGCAAATTGTTTTCAACAGGAATATTGCTGTTATAACGTACATTTTCCACATAACAAAAATAAACATCAAATTCAGTATTACCTGCACAAGGGGAAACCAAAACGAATCAGGAGTGGCATGACATCGCAAACAGAGAATAAAACACAGCCCTACACAACACACAGTAAATCAGATGGAGGAATATCATTAGCGGCAGCCATGCAACATGTGCTACAACATTAAACTCTAAACTAATGACTCACTCAACATCAGACAAACAGCATACATCTCTTAATTACATTATTACAAAAATACAGTGAAATAAACATTGTGTAGTGATATTTAAGGCACTTAGGCTATGTTTGTCTCTGCAGCGTTTAACATGCGACTTACCACAGCAGTTACCAGAAATTCTGCTGTGGATTACCCAGAATTCGCTATTTTTAACACCGTGGCGCAATACCAAGTGACGCCAGCAGATGGCGCTTACCCCATTTAAGCAGGAATTTAACTATATACAAACCGTTACACACATGTTCTTGTGAAATAAAGTATATTTTATAAAAAATACCCATGCTTTTTTTACTTATTTTTTATTAAAGGGGTCATGAACTGGCTTTTTAAATGTTATTATATTGTCTGAGGTCAACTTCTAACGTTCGCTTGGTTTTTGCATTCAAAAACATCAAAATAAACAAGTAATAGGCTATTTTGTACCCTGGTTGTGAGCCTTCCTGAAACAGTCGGTTTTTATGGGCGTGTCGCACTGAAGACTTGGAAATAAACACCCACTGCTGCGAGAACAGTTTTGCATATTATAATGAGTTTCACTCACCCGTCGGTGCACGTGGGGGAAAACGTCCTATGTTGTCAAATGGCAACCGGATTCGCCCATACATGTTCAACCCAGAGTCCGTGTGTTGCACAATATTCCTGTCAGATAAAATATAGAAGGCACAGCACCGTTCTTTACTCTTAATCGGTCTGCAAATCCAGTCTTGTTGACAAAACAATCCTCAGTGAAATGAAGCGAACAGACGACGATGTTTTACCTCATCAGCTGGAACGTCATTAAAAATAAATTTTATCCATGCAGTCCTATTGGAATCCACAGGAAGCTTATGCAGTGACTGTCTTGCACAACCAGGCACTGCACAATATTCTGTATTGCTCCATAGCGATCCAGTTTGTCATCATGAGGTAAGCATGTACATGTATGATACTTATTTGTGTAATGCGCGAATCGGTGGGCGGGGCTAAACCTGCCGTGGTGAAGCAGGCGTTGATCATCTTCTGTGGGGGTGGTGTTTTATCCTCTTTGTCGTCATAGTTCCCCACTTTTAAAAACGAGTCGTTTTTAGAGGCTGTGTCAATAAAAGCTTTTATTGGACTAACAAGGACGTTTTCAGTTCTGAAACTTACAGGATATTCTTATAATATGATGACCTCTTAGATGTCAAAAGCTCAAGGAAAATTTGATTTCTCAGTTCATCACCCCTTTAAACAATCAAAATCATCTTACAAATACATCTTCAATATCAAAACAATTTAAGATTTTTGTAAACACAATAAATAAATAAATAAATAAATAGAACATACAATATCACAGAGGTCTAATGAGTTATCAGATTGTGTATATAATTTTGAAAACCTCCAATGATTGTCTTGTTTTATATATTTCAAAGCTTTATTATACTCCTTCATAAAAACCAAAAAACAAAGGTCTTATCTTCCTAAATCTACAAGTATGTATAAACTGCTTAGCTAAAATTATTAAACTGTTATACATTAAAATAGAGTCTGGTTGAACCAGGCTACATTAAAATGCCCATAAGTTTCAAGTATTATTTTTTCACCATCATGATCAGGAAGTAACTCGTAATACAATGAAACGAATAACTGAAACTGTATACAATTATTTTACACAAAATCAATGTTTTAAAATGCTTATTTTACAGTAATGTATAGCATCATAACATAGGCTACATAGAGAGTAGGACGTTTCTTGTTCAATAAAAGCTGTTTCATGTGTAAAATACCCTCCAAATTACATTAGGTGGCGTTATTAGGTTTCAAATCTAAGCTCCGCCCCTCAATTACGTTCCTGGCGCTGGTGTTGGTTAAAATCTAACGCCGCCCCTCACTTCCGGTTCTGAAACTGGGGTTCTGAAACTGGTGGTGCTGCGGGTCTGCAGCTGGATACTATAGTGTTCTTGAAATAGTTTTGCCCACTGGAGAGCGTGGCCTGATAGCTGAGAAATGATGAATGCGATCTTTGCCATATCCGTGCAAAATAATTGCGGTTGCATTTCAAACAGCAAGGTGCATTGGTGAAGAAAGCCAATGTCAATGTCACAAGAAAATGTCACTGGAAGGCAGATCGGGCGAGGAAGACGTGGCTTGCGGATCGACTGGCGAAGTTGATGGACCAGATCGGTGAACGGATCCGTTTGACAAGTTTTTTTTGCCCTATATACTGTTATAAGCTAAACAGTTTTTAGAGATAAAACTCTTTACATTCGATAATCATGAAAACAGATTTCAGAGAGCGGTCAACTACGTGATATTAGGTTCATTTTGCTCCAGAGTTCTCCTTTAAGTTTGTAAAACCAATAACATTGATAGCGTATTTTTTTACGGTAAAGTTCTGGTAATAACAGATGCCAGTTTTTTTTTTTTTTTTCCATAAAAACAACAGGATTTTTTTTACAGATCCCATACCACCTAAACTATCCCTTACCCACCTCAATAGCAGCTGAAGTGTTTTGCAATAAAACATTTTTGTGATAAAACATCATAATTTTATTACAAATGATTAAAAAAATTAAAAACACAAGCTGTTACAAAGATCAATGTGTTCTTTTCTCTCTTTTCTGTCTTAGTTCTCTAATATACTGTATGTGATGTTTTTTTCCTTTCCCAGTGGAGACCTCTTCTGTTCATCTTGCTCCATCTGTTCTGCTTCCGGTGTGATTTCCAGAGGCACATCATGCTCCGCCCCCTCAGTCATTCACAGACCACCTGGGTCTCAGAGGACCAATCAGAGATCAGCGCGCTGCCTCTCCTCCTCCTCAGCAAAGACAAAGGTTTCCATGGTAACGGTACACGCCAGTTTTAAATGCAGGCTTGTCTCTCTGACTGATGGGATTTACCATCTGCTCTTCAAACATCACGTATTCCTAATGAACGTGTGATTCGTTTATACTACAAATTTACAAAGTGCACAAAACACAAATATGCTTTTTACAAGATAAAATATAAGACTTTGTTCAAATTAATTTTTTAAAAATATTTTTAATTTGTTGATGGTATAATTTAATAAATTTAGATATTTACAGGACTATATGCATTTTCACATCACCAATTATATATGGAATCATCACCATTATCTTGAACTGATCATTTTTATTTTCTTGATATTATTATCTTGATTAGGCAAAATGTTAGTTATTTGCACTTATAGCCTAAAGATCCTTTGTCTGAAAGAAGGTTTAAAATCATACAGATGTGTGATTCTCTAAAAACCCCTTTCCAAAAATGCACCAATTCATAAAATGACTCTGTTGCAAAAAGATTTACTGCAGGAAAGTAAACCAAACATTTCTGTGTAACAATTCTTGTGATGTATAAAGTCTCGCTCTCCAAAATCAATAAGAAGTGTTTCCTCATGTGACTGAGGACGGAGACAGGCTTCCTCTGTTCTGTTGAAAGGCTTCTTCCCTCTGGCAGGACGCAGCGGCTTCAACTCTTTGCTGCGATTCTCCACGGATGCCACAGTAATGTAATCCTTTTCCTGTCTTTTTTATTCCTCCTATCAGAGAGGTGAAGTTCAGCCACTCACAAATGCCTAGACCACAAAAACAGTAAAAAATGCAGAAAACAAGGGAGAATAAAAGCTCACAGAGATCAACATATGCACCATATAAAGCACACTGCAAGTACACTACCAATTTTTAATAAATACATGCTGTTATTTTGAACTTTCTGTTCGTCAAAGAATCCTGAAATAATGCATCACAGTTTCCACAAAAATATGAAGAAGCACAGCTATTTTCAACAATGATAATAATAAGAATTGTATATGAGCATCAAATCAGCATATTGGAATGATTTCTTAGAATGATTTGAAAGGATCAGTGTTGTAGTGGAGACCAGCTCACTCGAGTCCGAGTCGA